CCAGGAGCCCCAAACAGATCCAGCTGTTTAAAAAAAAAAAAAAAAAAAAAAATTTTTTTTTTTTTTTTTTTTTTTTGCTTTTTAGCAATAAGTTCGTTGATTTCGTAGCTTCATTCCGACCAGAGGTCAGGGCTACACAGGTACCCTCAGGATAAACAGAGCTTCTAAACAGGGAACGATCACAGATGAATCTGAGCGAGCAGCCAGCTGTGACTTCACTTCCTGTCCATCAACGCAGCATCGACATTCCCGTGTTAATCAGAGAGAAGCTGTTAACCCTGTAAAGCCTGGATCATGAAATAATTACTCCAAACATTCACATTTTTTAATCTTTAATTAAACCTGACAGACTTGTTTTTATTTAATATCAGTTTGTTTATGACTTTTACTTTATAAGCAACTGCACAAAAATGTTACAAACGTATTGTTCGGTTTATCACGGTTACACAGGAAAAAAATCACGCTGATAAATGTAGAGGCCTCAAAGTCATGTTTCACGTGATACATTTGGCATTACAGGGTTAACCGCTTCTTCAGTTCCTCACAGGTCATCCAAACCCCACCCCCACCTCAATCACCCACCTGCTGCACCAGCAGACGTTCCCGCCTTGAGCAGTTCTTATAGAAACGTTACAGGAACTGGCCATGAATTCATTTTAATGCCGTCAGGATAGAAATTAATTTCTCGTTTTTCTCACTGAAAATTTCTGTATATCCTGCCCGCACCAGTTTTACTGACGATCCAAACACACACGACAGTGGACTCTTCCTTTGTTTATCCAGTGTTTGGGGTTAAAGGTGACCTTCGGGTCCCGATAGTTTATGTTCACGTGTTAAAACGAGCCTGGAGATCCAGTCTGAGGTTCTGCACAGAGATGGTTTTCTTAGTGAAACAGATCCTGGAGCAGCTTCAGGTCTGGCTCTTCAGGTTACAACGTAAAGCTGCATGTCTGTAAGCTCTGTAGCCCAGTGGGCCGTACGTGACGCGTTTACTCACTATGTGCAGCATCATGTTACTCGTGATGACTTCATTTATACTTGAATGTTCACGCTGTCAGTCCCACTGTGTCCAAACCATCACCAACATCCCAACTTCACAGTATAATTGTGCTGATGCACACCGCAGGTGCAGGTGCCCCGTGATTGTGTTCACAGCACAGCTCACACCTGATGATCCAGACTGACATCTCCTCATGAAGCTTCTAGTTCGGAGATGTCGTCTGAACGTTAAAAAAAAAAAAAGCTTCAAAAAAAGAAGCGGGTGTTACGACCGGCGTTTTTTCCGTCCTGTCTTACTCCTCCTGGTATATGGACCTCCGTGTGTTATTCACCTGACGTTCGTAACCACATTCAGTGCCCCGACACACCAAGCTGACCTCAAACGACCCTGAAACCCACGCTGCCCACATCAGAGAAAAAAGCTTCATGGAGAATCTGGCCTCTGCTTAAATCCCACATGAATGTCGCAGGAGCTCTGCAATGTTCATGAAATCACTCTTTAGTTTCCTTTAAGATCCGATCCTCTGGACGTCCAGGTGGAACAGGGCTCGGCTTGGTGCATCGGGGCTTTTGGCTCCTGGAGCCAACAACAGGCTTCGAATGCCGAATCCTACTAAACGTTATAAACCCGACAGTCTGTTACATATCGCCGCGTAGGACGCAGAGCCATGGTTTATAAACGAGGAAACGCGATGAAGCAGATACTTCTATTTATTTTCTGAAGTATCACATAAAGTTTTCAAGTCAGCAGCAGAGACACAAGCTGTGTTTCAGCTGCTCTGACTGGTCTTCCGCTGTGGAAGTTGGGAGATTTTAATCATATATATTACTATAATATAATAAATATATATGTATATATATGCTGATGGTTTTCATGTTGCACACAAAGACATGCAGTTTGTCTGGTTTTCTGTGTCAGGGCTCCTGGACTTAGATTCTTATATTGTATAAACATTGATGTAAAAATCAGGCCAGCTGGTGTAAACATGGTTTGATTTCCTCTTTTAAATTTATCTGCTCTTTGCTTTTTCTGTGGTTTGGTGTCATAGGTCTATTATGTTGTCCCTTCTTTGACAGTAACCGCGAGAACCTGCAGGGTTTCTCTCGTTTAAGCTGCAATGATTGCTTTAACCTCGAGGTGACGGTTGTTGTGATTTGGCGCTATATAAGTAGAATAGGATTGAATTTATCAGCCTCTGCGATGTGATTGGTGGATAAAGGTTTTTGTCTGTCTGATGTTCATTTTCTCCCATGTTTAATAAAGAAAAGCATCAAAATTGGTCTTTAAATTTGAAGTCAGGCAGTGAATGTCTGCAGAACCGAAACTAGGAGCTAAAAGAGGCTGAAAGGCTTGAGTGATTAGTGCAGCTTTAAAGACTGAAGAGAAACTCGTCTGCTTTTTGAAAATTGTTGTTGTTGTTTTTTTTAATCAGGCTGTTTCTCTTATGCAGTGAATTATCACGTAAAGCTTAGAATCTAATCGTATTCTGATCATCTGAGCTACAAAAATGAATTTTTAATGAAAGATGATTGTATTGATCTGTAAATCGGTGAGGGGTTATTGATTATAGCTTCATGGTCATCTCTGTGCTTTAATAAACTCTTTGAAAATGATTCCCCGGTGTCTGTCTGATGTTTACATTCTTCTCTGTGATGAAAGCTTTAGTGTTTTATGAGTTTCCTCTTCACATGTGTTTAAATGTCTTCAGTCAGGGGGAAAAAAGGTGATCACGCTGAATATGAACAGGAAGTGATGACATCGGCATCACGATAGTCGAGTATGTGGCACGCACTTTAAATAATGAAAGTTAGAATAAAAAGGTCGAGTAAGGTCAGCAGTGAGAGGCTGGAGAGCCTGAGGAGCTGTACATGATTTAAAAATAAATCAATAACAATGCAGCTCAATATCAAGCAGGTAAAGTTTGGAGTCAAAAATAAAGAGCTGAGCTTCAGTCAGGTTTCTTTTTCTCTGTGCTGCAGCTGCTCTCACACAGACTGTTCAATAAAACAAGTGAACTGGATACATTTATAGCAACAGACAGGGTCTGACACATCTGCCATTGACTGAACCACAACAAGAGCCAGTATCTGCTGCTCCTCCTAACTGTGTGTGTGTGTGTGTGTGAGAGAGAGTGAGTGATGCAGTGACAGGTGGAGTGCAGTGATTGGCCTCTGCCAGGCTCCTGTGTCTGGATTGGATCATTAGTTTGAGTCCTGGCTTCAGAGTTTTGGTGAGTTCTTGACAGTGACTCATACACACTTGTCACGCACTGAAAAACTGAGAAGCAGTTTCTAGGTTAGGAGATATGTATGTGTATATATATATATATATATATATATTATAACAGCAGTTCACTTGCGTGGTCTTAAAACCTGATTTGGCTAACTGCACTGTGCTTATGTATGTGTGCACATGTAGAGAGTAATTGCAGTGAAGCAGACTGATCATGGTGTTCATAGGAGATATGTATGTGTATATATATATATATATATATATATTATAACAGCAGTTCACTTGCGTGGTCTTAAAACCTGATTTGGCCACTTCAAATATCTTTATCAAACAGCAATGTTATGTTTGTTGCAATTTCTGCTGCCCTGTTGGCTACATCCTTTATATGAAAAGACATAAAAACAAAAATTTAATTCAAAGGGTAAAAGTCACTTATGTCCTTTCTGCCTCAAAGTGACTTTATATCCTTCATCACTCATATGTTTGGCAAAGCTTTGGCAGATTATATGCCAAAAAGTCATTTACAACACTTTTTGTCACAACACCAGCTCCCAGACACTGAGTGAATAAATTGAGTCACAGCGCCATCTACTGGATATACACTCTAAGCAAGGCTGAAATCACGGGGAAAGCTTTTGAATGAAATAAAGTTTCCATCAGGTACACTGTCAGGTTCTACAGTGGTTTCAGTTTTGTGGGGCTCTGTGCAGATGCCTGCATGGTTGTAGGTCTGTTGTAACTGCGTGGTCTCGACTGCAGAGGCTGCGCTACAAGACAGATGCCCTGCAGACGGGCTGCAACAGCTCTGCTCTGTGAGTGTTGGGGCAGCACATCTCTTTCTACTTGTTCTGCTTGTTTATTCAGTGAGCTAGTTTCAGTCATTGTGTAAATTGTGTCTCTTTTTAAAATGCCAGCCCCGCCCCCTGCTGCTCCACCTGTTCTTACAGCACTGCACCATCTGCATGTGGTTCCTGCACATGCATGAACCGATCAGATCCCTCAGCTGAAGTTTCTCACAGTGTGAATCTGCAAGTGTGTCTGCCTGCTGCTGCTGAGGATGATGATGCTGAAGATGATGATGAAGATAATGACGATGATGAAGAAGTTGATGATGAAGATGATGATGAGATGATGATGGGATGAAGATGATGAAAATACTGATGATGAAAATAATGGTGATAAAGATGATGATGATGTGATGATGAGGAAGATGATAATATGATGATGTGATGAAGATGATGAATAAGAGGATGAAGAAGATGATCATGTGATGAAGATTATGAAAATAATGATGATGACGAAGATCATGAAAATCATGTGATGATGATGAGATGATGATGTGATGAAGATGATGAGAATGAAGACAATGGTGATGAAGAGGATGAAGATGATGATGGTGCAGTAGCTCCAACAGGCTGCTGTCCTCGCGCTCCTTCAGCCTCCTCCGTTGTTATGAGTCATCGCGCGCAGCGTCTGCGGAGCGGCGCGCTGTGATTGGTTGAAGAGGAGCCGCCTGCGCGCGCACGGAGCCGCTCGTTGACCGTGGAAGAGCCGCTGCTGGCGCGTGAGGAGCAGCAGGAGTTGTGTGCAGCATGTCATCCTGCCGCCGTGCGTGAAGCATCTGCGCGCGGACAGATTCAGACTCTTCAGATCGTTTCACAGCAAACATCCGGTCTGCACGCACCTCCTCCTCTCCCCAGCACAGGAGCCACTGCTGAGAAGACACGGATTTTATCTGCACACCGAGACACCGAGAGAGCGTCCGATCCGCCCAGCAGAGGTGACACACACGGACACACACACACATACGGACACACACACACACTGATCCAGAAACGTCGGTCACACCTGCACCGGTGCGACACCGGGGCTTGTGCATCTCTGTGATTTTCCTCCAGCCTCATCATCATCATCTTCACATCATCGTCGGTGATCGATGGCTTCGATCCTTCTCTAATCGATGGTTTGTATTTTTCGACGCTGAAGCTTGATGACGTCCATGTGGGATGATGATGATGATGGTGATGATGAAGTCAGAGGTGCAGCTGGTCTGCGGGGATTCAGGCTGCTCCGTGGCTTCTCCTCCCTGCGGAGGCCCTATTGGAGGGATGGCTGCTCATTCTGATTATCAAACAGCACCTTCATCAACTTCACCTTTCATTTAGCGATAATAAGCGTGCTGATGTTAACCTGGTGATGATCAGATAATCCTCTCTGGTATGATGCTTCTGATCAGGAGAGCAGCAGGTGAACTCAGACCGGCTGGGTGTGATTCTGTGGTCCCTGATTGGTCCCGTGCCTTCACACACGTTTTACATGATACTTCATGAAGTTTAAACCTCTTTTATTCGTTATACTTTTCAATCATTTTTATCCAAAGAAGCGAAAACGCGACTATTTCCATTGGCCTGTGCAGCATCTGTGTTAGTCATTGTACCCCATACAACGAGGTGACTGTTGTTGTGATTTGGTGCTATAGAAATAAAATAAAATTGATTAATTTTCTTATCCAGCTGACAAGTCTGTCCCAGCTGTCATAGGGTGACAGGCGGGCACGCACTTCACAGGTATCACAAGGTTAACAGAGAGAGAGAGAGACAACCATTCACACCTACAGCCAGTATAAAATCACTATGGTGATTATTGAGTCATTAAACCACCAATTGTTGCTTCTTTAATGTGTTTATGACTTTAATGTTGCACCTTTAATGTGTTAATTAATTTATATTTTAAATCTACAGAAGAAGAAGAAACAAAGTACAACATCCAAAATAATTAAAGTGGCTGAGATCAGAAATACTTCAAGGATAAGTACATTAAGTACATTAAGACTGTATTTAAGTAAAGTACTTGAGTAAATGTACTCAGTTACATTATCTACAGTATGCTCTCCACTAGTGGTTGTTTTGGGGGTAACAATCAAATTGCATTATGACATGCGCTAATGGAAGCGGCACGAGATGGCTCTGGTTCAGCTTCACCTGATGGATATTACCAGCTCGGGCTGAACCCTCTGCACCTGCAGTTCTTCTCTTCATGCTACACACAGTGCTTCCTCATGTTGTGATGTAACTTCCAGACCTTTGACCTCTGAATGGACCAAGCTGTGATGTGTCCTCTCCTGATGGATCTGCTTGATGTTTGCACCCAGAACGTCCTTTTTTATTCAGCTCCTTCAACCACACCTACAAATCAAACACCTGGAATCATCTGCACAGCTTTGACGATTTATTTACGATTTACATTGCACCGCGTCATTCTGTGGAGGAGCAAGCAGATACTGGATGCCGTGCAGAAGACACCCACAGGCCGTAGAAAAGACTAACGCACCTTCAGGTGTGAAAAATGAAGCCGGTGTGGAAAATGCCTTAAAGCTGCCTTCTTTTTAATGGCCACCAGGGGGCGAGAGCTGTGGCTGCAAACAGACTTCGGTCCTGTAGAAGTCTATGAGATCTCTGACCTCTGTGTGTTTTATCTGCTCAGCCACTTGTTTTAGGTTGTACTGAATAAAACATGAAGTCAGTGTTGGTTATTCTACGTTTCCTTTGTCTGCACGTTATGGACTCACCAGTGAGGCAGTCGCTTGATGTTGTTGGTGGTGAAGTTGACTGGTTACACTAGGTTAAAACGACGCTCATGCCACCATGAAATCTGCTCCTGTAGTCCACGCGTGCACAACACTCTGCATCCCACCTCAGAAACACCACTGAAACCAGCAGTGCATCAGACCTGTACGAGGTTCAGGCACCATGAGAGTGAGTTTTAGGCGACCACAGACGTCTGCTGTTCAGGTGTTCTCTTCACTAAATGTTTAATCACCTTCAAAGGATTTTCTTTACCCTTTTTCTATACATTCATGGGTCTAAATAATCAAGAGAGTTTGGAATACTGAGTGACAACACTGTACGCAGACAGATTCTTCCCATCCCAACTGATCCCATCAAAGTAAAAGAGCTTTTATACCACTGACATGCTCAGACTGTTACACAAGCAAATGTAAACTCTGCAATCTCAGGTGAGACTTAAAAGAAGCTCTCAGTCTGGATGAATATTCATGTTGCTGATTCTTGTGCTTTTGTCCTTTTCAAATCTTCAGATGGCAAAGGCAGACCAGCGTTTCGGCCAGCGGGATGGCTCTGACCAGAACTTCGACTACATGTTCAAGCTGCTGATCATCGGCAACAGCAGCGTGGGGAAGACGTCCTTCCTGTTCCGCTACGCCGACGACTCCTTCAGCAACTCCTTCGTCAGCACCGTGGGCATTGACTTCAAAGTGAAAACGGTGTATCGCAACGACAAGAGGATCAAGCTGCAGATCTGGGTGAGGACGGTTTGCTTGTCTGAGATGCCGGAGACGAACTGGCTTGTGGAAACAGATGCTGATGTCACAAATTATGCACACGGTGTCTTGTTGCATTGATGTCTTCAGTCTCTGCCTCTGTGATATTCTTTTTTTTTTTTTTTTAGCTATAAAGTAAAAAATAATAGAAAGAAGTTGTAAGGCTGGTGGTTAGATGTTAAACCTGGTTCGCTTTGACGTCAGAGGACACCTGCATTGGTGTCAGGCCTCAGAACCAGCCCCTCTGTTAGGAAGAAGTGGTTTTGCAACCACAAAATGTTTTAGTCATAAAATTAATTATTGATCATCAGATTATCAGTTTAAACTCTGTGTTTGTGTGTCTGTTTTTTTGTGTGGCTCTTTTGTTAGTCAGGGAATGCGATGGTAGCGTCAATTAGCAGTGAGGAGTCAGCAGGAACTTTTCTTTGTTTATATTTTGTCTCATTTGCATCATCCTTACCTGGGCAGGTGGTAGGGTCCATGCAGGTAAGGCTGAGACGGTGAAAGGTGATGCAACATTACCTGGATTCTGTAACAGCCCTTTAAAAAGTTGGTACCAAACAATAACCTCTTTCCCTCATACAGACTCAGGGCTCAACACTGATGGTCATTCAGGGACGTAACACACAGCTGCTTCAGTATCTCAGGATGTTGTTTAAAAGGGATGATAAAAGCATGAGATGCACCAATGTGTCAGTCGGACCTCGGACTTAATGCAAGCTTCTTATCGGTGTGTCGTGGTGACGATGAATGCTGAAGCGGAGCTGGTTTACAGAAAAGTTTAAAGGGGGAATAATGATTTGATCCCAGTTGAAATGAAGAGTCTCTGTTTTTTATGGTGGTTTCATTTTAATGATGAGAGATGAATATCAACCAAAAAAAAACACATTACATAAAAATTATAAACTGACCTGCATGTCTTGTTGCCTTGTTGGCGATCAGAGCAGTAAGATGTTTCTTGTTGTTGGTCATCAGGTTTGCTCACTTCTCAAGTTGCCAACTCAAAGCCTTAGTAGCTTCACAGGACTTGCTTCTTTTTTAGCCACTCCTTTGTTGCCTTGGCGATATGTTTTGAGTCATTCTCATGCTGGAAGTCCCATCCTTGACCCATCTTCAGTGATCAGGCTGAGGGAAGGAGGTTCTGGTTCTAGTTTGGCGTCATACATCGGCCCCCTCATCATGTACCCTCAGCAGAAAAACAGCCCAAAGCATAATGTTTCCACCTCTGTGCCTGACTGTGGGGATGCTATTCTTTGAGTCGTACTCAGCATTTCTCTTCCTCTAACCTCAGCAGGAGACCGATTTTGGTTTCATCTGACCACAGGTCTTTCTCCCAAGCCTTCTCTCATTGATTTAAGTGTTCACTGGTAAACTTAAGATGGGCCTGAACATGAGCCTCCTTGAAGACTCCAATCCATTACAGTGTAACACGATAACATTATGAAGCTCATCCCATGGAGTTCTGGGCTGATCCACTACTTTTCCTATGATTATCCTCATCGCATGAGGCAAGATCTTGCATGAAGCTCCAGACTTAGACTGATTGATGGTCACTGAGTTTTTGATTGATTGATTGATTGATTGATTGATTGTAATCTGTTCGCCACATGGCAAACAGCCAGTCTGTAGGAGGTTCTGGCTGGTTCGCAGAGCATCAAATACTTATTTCCCTCAATGAACATACAGATGTATTTATAACGTTTATGTAATGTCAATTTCTGGATTTTCAAATAATATTCTGTCTCTGTCCATTAAAATAAAACTATCATAAAAAATAGAGACAGTTCATTTATTTGTAAGTGAGCAAACTTACACACTCCTACCCCACATATGACCAAGAGCTGTGGGCAGTGATGGCAGACTGAGTATACAGGCAGCAGAAATGAGCTTCCTCTGAAGGTTGTCTGAGCTCACCAAATACAAAGTTAACCTCAGGTTAGCCGCTCAGATACAGTCGCTGGAAGAGTGACACATTTTCTCCAAGGTCTCTCCTTTTTTTA